GCTTTTGTGCACTGGATATGAATGCTTTTGTGATTAAAGCATAGGACATCATTTCTGACTTTACCACATGCTTTCTGTAGGATTTTGGGCAAATCACCTAGGATAAAATTTTCAAAACTTGGTCATCTAAATTAGGCAGACAAGGTTCTTTGGGTGAATCTGATATCTTTTATTAGACCAACTTAAATAGTTGGAGAACATTTTTAAGCAAGCTTTCGGGTTCAAAAACCCTTCATCAGGCTAAGGAAGTTTTGGCAGTTGGAGCGTGCTCTTCCTGACTCTCGGGGTTGGGTTTCTTCAGAGACATTTGCTGGAGTTGTAAGTAGAGACTCCTCAAGGAGAAAAAGGTACTCAGGAACAGCCATCATGGATTCACCAAAAGCAAATTACAACCTGATTTCCTTCTATATGGTGACAGGCTCTGTGGATGGAGGGAGAGCAGTGGATGTGATACACCTTGACTTTAGCAAGGCTCTTGACACTGTCTCCCATATTCTCATTAACAGACTAAGAGAATACAAATTAAATGCAAGTACTGTAAAGTGAATGCAAAACTGATTGGATCATTGTCCTCACAAAGTAGTCATCAATGGTTTAATGTCTAGTTGGGAGGAGGTATCAGGAGGCATTCCCCAGAGGTTTGTCCTGGGTCTGGTATTGTTTAAGATCTTCATTATTGATTTGGATGATGGGGCTGAGTGCACCTTTAGCAAATTTGCAGATGATACCAAGCTGGGTGGAGTTGCAGACACTCTGGAATGTACAACAGAGACCCAGAAAAATCTGGATAAACTGGAAGAATGATTCACAATCAACTAGATTAAATTCAACAAGGACAAACAAATAAAAAGTTCTGTACTTGGGATATGTAGTAACTGAACTGCCCTGTACTTGGGATGTGTATTAACTGAAATGATAACTTCCTGACACTTCCTGATAGTAGGCTGAAGGAGCTGAGAATTGGGAGGTGGTCTCTAAAATAAGGAGCTAGTTGAGTTGGACAGAGACAAAGGGGCTGCAGAGGTTACCTACTTCTCCTCGAAGTTTTTTTAGTTCTTCTCATTCACTGTAAACCTGTATGTATTGAAGCTAATAAGGGGTAAGTGAGAAAGGGGTAAGTGAGAAAGAACTTGAAAGAGTTTGAGTTTGAGACTGAAACAGAAGATGGAAACTGACAGTACCTGGGGCAATGAGTCATGTGGAAGGACAAGAGCCACTGTAAATGATCTTCCTGCACAATTATAATCTAGGTAAATAGACAGTCGTGGAAGTTTTGCAACGTCCACTTGGCCTTCTGATGTCAGGCAATACAACAGTGAAGTGGAAGACATTCAGTCAAACATTTGAGCAGTACCTAGCAGTCACAGATATAGAATAGAAAAACAACAAAGTCAAATCCTCAAACTTCTTGCATATTGTAGGGGAAAAAGCTGTTAATAATACTTTTACCTTTGCAAAAGGCCAACCTAAGTAGTTAAATGTAATACTGTCCAAATTTCAGGAATACTGTATGCAAAAAAAAAGTATAAAACACCTGAAAGATATGGATTTTTAACGTGAAAACAAACAAGGAGAAAGTACAGATCAGAATGTTACTGAACTAAAGAGATTGAATAAGAACAGTGCTTTTAGGAACCCAACAGAATCCCTGATTAGAGATGGGATTATTTGTGGCACTGCAGACAATGATTACAAGAAAAACTATTGTGTGAGGAAGACTTATCCCTAAAAAAAGACTATGCAGATGTACAGGGCAGCAGAAACTGTGAAGATTCAGACTATAGAGCTGAATGCACCAAAAGGCATTGTCCACACAGCATGCATGAAATAATGTGGCCAGAAAAAGCCACCTTACAAGGTGGTATTTTCCATTAGCAAAGGGACTGTAAACAAGAGAAGGCAGTCACCCAATTTTGCAGCAACTATGAAAGACAAAATGAACCCAAATGTGCTGCATTTGGAAAGCTTTATTTTAACTGTAACAGGTGGAACCATTTAGTCAGGTACTGCAGATCCCAAACACAAATAGTTCAAGTGCTTACAGTTGACAGCATATCAGAAGAATTTTCTATAGACATAGTAGAATCAAGCAAAATCAAGGAGGGGGATTGGATTTTGCCAGTGGAAGTGCAAGGAACAATAGTTACATTTAAATTGGACACTGGAGCTCGGGATTAACATTATACCAGAGCATGAATATTGAAAATTATAACAGACCAAAAGTGAGTCCAACAAGCATCACAATAACTGGCTATTCAGGAACATATCATACCAGTGAAAGGGAGATGCACTGCTAGCATCCAACATAAACACACAGCATACAAACTCCTATTCATTGTGGTACCTCAGGACCTGACACCAATTTAGAGTCTTGCAGCTTCTAAGAAACTGAATCTAGTTATGTGTGTGCTTACAGTACGAGACAACACAATTTTTTAAAATCTAAATCCAGACAATCTTTTTAGAAAGAAACCAGCTGTTCTAGAACGCAAGCTACCACACAGCTGCCAACTCTGTGGGTGCTCTCATGCTTAAGCACCCACTGAAAAAAAGTTAGCGGGTGCTCAGTACCCACGAGCCATGGCCAAGATGTGAAAACAACCAAACAAAAACGTGTTTTACCAGAAAAAACAGTGCATTACTTTGACCCAGATCTGCCTAGTCTGTAAAGATGAGGGACTTCAGCGAAGCTTTTTGGCACTTTTAGCTAAAGCTGATTCAATCAGCTATTAGATAAAAGCCCCCCCAAAGCCCCACTGAAGTGCGTGATCTAAACAGATGCTCCAGAGCCAGGCTGAAGTAGCGTGCTGCCTCTTCTGGGCATGTGCGGAGCTTGGCACAGGAACATGCCAAGTTCAAAGTAAAGTGCCGTTTTTGGGGGTGGGGCACATTTATGTCTTTAAACACCCACTGGCAAAAACCAAAGTTGGTGCCTATGAACAACCATGTTCTTAATGGAAGAAGTATATCTACCTTGAACAGCAGGCTGGACTAGATGATCTCATGAGGTCTCTTCCAGCTCTATTTTCCTATGATTCTATGTATTCTCAGTACTAACTTCCATTTCAGGAATTTGTCAGTGCTAAGCAATATTTGCCTTTCACCAGTAAGTTTTCTGCTTTGTAAGCAGGCCAGGGAAACTTTTTCCTTAAACCTTTTATATCCATGCACAGTTTAAAATAGAAAAAAATTGAAGCTATTAAAACATCAGATATGTTTGAGCTAATCACTTCCATCATTCCCTGTGGTGCTGCTTCACAACTGCATAAGCAAGTAGTTCACTCACTCAAACAGCCTTCAAAATGAATTCAAATAATAAGCTCCTTGGGTACTGTCTGTTAGTCCAGTGACTTGCAAAATGGGGCTGTGATACATGACTGGGGCTCTTAGGTACTGTAATATTATTATTGTTAATAGTCATGTTTTATTTTACTCTGCTACCATAAGAAGTCAGGAGCAGAGGTGCAGCTGACAGCATAAAAATGCATTTTGTATTGACGGATCACTAGAGAAAATGCAAACCGTGTGCATGGGGGGATTAATGCAAAAATGCTATTACACAACACTGAAGTAAACAGTAAAACTTCATCAGTCTCCTTTGTGTGCTTTGTGATGGTGATAACAATAAACATTGTTTAGCATTGGGTATATATGATAATTCATCTTCAAAGGAGACTCAAGACAGTCTAATAAATGAACATGACAGCAGCAGTCAGTAACCCTTGAGTTCTAATCCAAATGACTCGTGGATTAAATTGTAGGAGATTAGTTCCGTCACTGCAGGCCTAAATATCAACAAGACAAAGCATTCACAGCTACCACTGAATTCAGTGACAGTTACAGGCTCATCAGAACTCCTGAAAGGCCCCAGTTCAGCAAGCACATGCATTTCCTACTCAGTCAGCAACATACTAAACTGAAAGGTTGACTGTAACTATGGGCTCAGATGCTTGTCTGAGCCAGGATCATGAAAAGGCTCTCTGTCTTTATGGAATCTCAGTTTCCCTATTGTAGAATAAGGACAATAGTTTCTTCCTACTTCAGTGGGGTGTTTTGTGAAGATGGTATCTATACTTGCATATAGCTCTGAAAAAATGTGAAGTGCTATTACAGACATTCTACATACAATTGTTACAAAGGAAAGAACTGTTGAAATGTGGTTATATGTTACTTTCTCTGTTAGCACAGATTGTTACAAAGCCTTTATAAAATGCTACAGAAGAGGCTGCCCTTTCTTATGAACGTAATTTCAAACACAAGTGCTCCTTTCCTGAAATGTGGGGAGAAAAATATTATAGCTTGACTTGACTTTATTTCAGGGGTATTAAACTCATAGTTTCATAGTAGCTAGGGTCAGGAGGGACCTGAACAGATCATCTAGCCTGACCCCCTGCCACAGGCAGGAATGAATGCTGGGTTCACAAGACCCCAGATAGGTGATCGTCCAACCTCCTCTTGAATATGCCCAAGGTAGGGGCGAGGACCACTTCCTCCCAGGCTGAATCTCGGCTATGGGGCTCCTTGCCGAAAAGATTCAGCCCAGGATATGTGACAACGATGGTTTCAGCAGCTCTGACTAACCTGGGGCTGTATAAGCTTTCACTCACTCTCCTACCACCAACTGCAATGTTTATCAGGGCCCAAGGGTCCTGGATTTTGTAGCAGGCCACTTTCCTTGGTCACACCCCCAACTTCTGGTGGTCCTCCAAGCTGGACAGAGCAGCTCTGTAGGCCCTACCCATCCTACGGGCTTTACGTTTGACACCCTTGCTTTATTTGATTCCATGGTAAACATAAACTTTGCCCTTAAAAACTAAAATAGAATCCCAAATAATTAAAACAATCTAATAAAGAGTGGAAGATAAAGGAGCTATTTGGCAAGCAGAGCCTTATCTGATGCCAGTACATTTAACCTGCTACACATTAAGCGGATAAGACTATTCGATCAGCAGATGACAAATTGCAGTGCAATGTCCTAGTTATTTATAATAAGTACTTACTTTCGCCTTTCTGCCTCAAATTTATTCAGCAGTTTCCGAAGGCCACCATTCTTAAATCCCTGATAATGTGCTGCAGGGGCTCCCACTGTGATGACATCATACAGAGAATCTGGAATGATAAGAGACAAAGTATTGAGCTGTGTGTGCATGCACACACACACACACACACACACACACACACACACACACACACACACACACACCCCTCCCACTCCATGGCCACACTATTGTGTTCCTTATACAAGAGATGGAGGGAATGATACATCGTATCATGCCAGAAACAACCTAGCATCATTGGCTAGGTACAGATGTTACACTTAAGCATGCAGAATGTGCCTTACAGCCATAACACAACAGACATTCACAGTGCTTAGAGCACTTTAAAAATGGATCCCACTCTAAGTTAACCCTGGATGGTTGTGTACTAACCTAAAGCATTTTCCGTTACGGTGCTTTATTGAATGTTTGTGCCAGATCCCATCGAGGGTTAACTTAGAACATGGTTGCCACCATCCCAGACAGCATTGCATAGGTCTGCACTCTAGCCTCAAGTAGAGCTGGTTTGCAATGACCCAAATCAGTGGTAGCTTCTGATCCCAGCCCCCTGCACAGCCTGGCCATGGGATGGGGGGAGGAGAGGGAGGGGCCTTCTATCCCTTCAACTGTCCCAGGCCCATGGTGTGCCACATCTTAGCCAGGAGGTGCTGTGGGGTCTCTCTCCCAGCAGTCACTGCCCATCTCTCCAGCTCTGCCTACTCATGAGCTGGCATCTGTCAGCAGTGGCTGGGGGGCAGAGTGTGGAAGGGAGCCCCCTGCTGCAAGGGTCCCCCCACATAGCTTGTTGGCTAAGGGTCACGGGAGGGGCCAGGCTGGGTTTGTGCAGCACAGAGGTTTCACCCCTGGTTGCAATTCATGGAGCAGCTCCACACTGCATGCTTCTGGCTCCAGCTGCCATGTCACTTGGGTGGGGAGGGTCAGTGAATGGAGCCCTCCTGCCATGAAGACCTTGCCCCGCAAGGCGGGGCGGGGGGGGGGGGGGGAGGGGTTGGGCCGAGCTGGATCAGCATGGCCGGGGGGTTCTGTTGACTCAATCTCCCACCCAAGCAACCTAGTAGCTGCCGCCAGAAGCTGCAGAGCAAGGCTGCTCCAGCTTTTCGCTGCTCCAGAAACTGTGGCCAGGGAAAAAGGGAGTCCCCCGTGCCACAAAGCTACACAGCTTGCTGTTTTGAGGGGGTGGGGGGTCAGTCTGAGGCACTGGCATTTCCTTCCCCCTGGCTGTAGTTCCCAATGCAGCAAAACATGGGGCCAGATAGCTCTGCTGCATCTGCTGTCTGCCGCTGTCAAGAGGCTGGGGCAGGGGAAAACCGAGCTTCTCCCTGCCCCCCCATCTTGCTAGCTGGGGTCTTTGGGGAGGCTGGGCCGGCCTGCATGGCAGAGGGGCACCCTCCTCCCCAGTTACTGGCATGCAGAAATGCTGGCACAGGCTGTCCCTCCTGCCAGCTGCTGGCTGCCCCTGTCAAGAGGCTTGGGGGGGGGGGGGAGGGGGCCTCCCTGCCACAGGGACACAGCCCAGCCCGCCCCGCCAAGTCCTCAGCTAGCAAGCTTGGGGAGGGGTGGGGTCATGGTGGTGGACTCCCTTTTCCCATACCGCAGCCTCTTGACAGCAGCAACCAGCAGCTGCAGGAGGGGCAGCCTAGCCCAGTGTTTCCCCATGCTGGGAATGGGGGATGCAGGGGAGGGAGTCCTCTCCTGTGGCGACTTGGCCCAGCTCTGTTGTGCGCTGCCCCATGCCCCCCCCCCCCCCCAAGCTAGTATGCTCTGTGGGGGCCTTGCAGCAGAGGGGCTCTGTTTCCCCACCTCTCCACCCCTAGCTGCTGCTGACAGTCACCAGGTGGTGGGGAGGGGGGAAGTGGTGGGAGGGGGCACTGCTCCAGCAGCCTCCTGGGAGGCATGAAGGCGCACCCCCTTTGCCCCCACCTGCTGGCTGTGGCCAGTGCAGGCAGACACTGAGCCTGCCCCCCACAACCAAACAGCACACATCTGCTTGGTTATAACACACTCCAACTTATAGCATTTTACATAAGGTGTGATACAGCACTTTCTGCCACTGGCTTTTTGAACATCTGCATTTAGCCTCTATCTCAAGGGGCAAAGGCTTGATCAATGCTTCCACACAGCCACCTGCATACCTCAGAAAATTAGGATGTTTATCTGATTTATTAGCTCATTTTAATGATATGCCACAGCGTAGAACAATATGTTCTAGCTCTATAGTTTGCTCAGCTACAATGTAAATTGGTCTTTTGTGCATTTCACTTTATTGTGCCTTATATTGTTTAATTTGCAGTAATGTTGAATTTCATAGATTCATGGAGTCTAAGTCCATATGGGACCATTATGCTCAACTAGACTGACCTCAGGTATAACACGGGCCACAGATTTTTCCCAGTGATTCGTGCAGTAAGCTCATAACTTTCTGCTGAACTAGAACATATCTTTTTAAAAGATATCTAAACTTGATTAAAAAACTCCAAGTGACAGGAAATCTACCACCTCTGGAGGTAAGTTGCTCTAATGGTTAATACAGCTCTCTATTAAGACTGCATTTTTCTGTAGTTTGAATTTGTTTAGCTTCAACTTACAGCCACTGGGCCTTATTAAATAAAGGGCCCTCTCTCTTCAGAATCTTCTCACTGTATAGGTTCCTGTATAGGATTGGGAACAATCCTGCCTTGAGCAGGGGCTGAATTAGATGATGTTGTGAGCTCAGTTCCAGTCCTACTTTCCTATGATCCTATGAAATCAAATTCACAGCCAATTTTACTTACACTGGAAGGGAAAAACAGAAAAAAACCCTGCAACACCTTTAATTCTAAGAGTGAAACACTAGCTCTCCTTTCTTTTAACTGTTGTGATGTTTGTCTTCACTTTTTTCAAAAAACACATCAAGCATATATTCCTTATTGTTTCCTGGCACCGGAGAAAGAAAAGGAAAAACAAAAAGTGATGAGGTTGAAAAATAGCTTCTGTTTTGCACTAATACTTGATTACTGACATAATTATTTGTGGACACATTTTGTTTAGCTAGAGATCTGATTTCATCAGTAAATTTGGTAGCTGGAGGTTTAATTGCTTTTATTTACACTTGGATTTAGTCATTATTTTGTGCCCACAATAACCATAGGTATGAAAATTAATGTCAGGTTGTGGCCCTTTTAAAATCTGGTTCCAAAGGTACTGTAAAAGGCTCTGTCTCTAGCTAAGACAATTTGTATCCCTTAAGGAAGCTTCACATTTAAATTGAAATCCAAGTCTGTCCTCAAATGTATCTTTGTTGCATTTTGATGACAAATGTCGCCATAAACTGGAACACTGTAGAAATGATTCACAGTTAATGAACTGTATTTTATTTGTGGTGCTCAATTTCAAAGTAGATCCATTCAAATTGATTTTAACACTGATATATTGGTTGCTCTTCAGTTCCATTTAAAAGTAGAAGTGAAACAATTTCATGAGCCTCAGGTGAACTCCTAAGTTCCTAAAGTATCCTGTCTTACAGGTCTATCATAAAGATTTATCAAAAATATATAATCTTGGGTCATTAGAACTACACTATTACATATGGCAATAAATTGTTATATTGCTTAGGACAAAAATGACTTTAGAAAAGAGTGAAAACAAAACACTTAGTTTAACTGTATAATGGCATGGGATGTTTGTTTTTTTAGATATCACACGATAGGAAATGTTTTCTAAAAACTGAACATCGCTGGTTTTGCTTACTGTGTATTGAAAGGAAGTAGATGCAGAAAATGTGGCAAAAATCATTAGTTTCAATTCATACCTCAAAAGTTACAGAAACAGTTAAAAACACAACTTAATTATTACAGAATGTGAAGGAAGAGAATGCAAAAGGAGTGGAAAATAGAGGATGATTAATTTAAAACCCAATTATTTCTATAAATTATGTTGACTTCTAAAATACTGGTGTCCTCAACTCAAACCTTTTGACACGTACATCCCCTAACATTAATTACAGATTAATACTTGAACAACTGTGTAAGAAGACTCCCTGATACTTTACCTCCTCATTTCTTCTTTACCTAATTCATCATCCCAAATAACTTAGTCAAGAAAAACTTCACTAAAATATGAGTCCTGCAATATAGCTGAAATATGAGCAAAGGGAACTAGCTCCAGAGTTAAAGCTTCCTGTTCCAAATCCAGATTAAGTATAGAAACTACACAAACAGATACTGATTGTGAGGGTGATGGAGAAACCTCTGTCCTTCCCTCACAGGACAGGGCAAATGTTTTATATTTTATTTAGAAAGAAATTATAAACAATTTAAACAACAGGGTAATCATATTTTTAATAAAATTATATGTAAATTTCAGGAAAATAGTTTTAAAAAATAAAAAAAAGAGAAAAGTCAAGTTTTTCAAAATATTCTTTCCTAATTTGCAGGATATTTTTTGATGAAAATCAAAGCAGTTCTAGTGGCAATGCACTCCACACAAATTCCCATTAGAAGAGGTGTGGGCAAAATATGGCCCATGGATCCAGGCCACCCAGGGATTTTATCTAGCCTATGGTGGGTCCCTTGGCCCTGCCCATCCCAAGCGCAGGGGGCAACCTAGGCCATGGTGCATGCAGCTGGTTCTACTGCCTCCAGATGTGCAGCAGGCTTGGGGTGGCACAACAGCTGAACTCAGTTTCCCAGCACCCCTGGGAGTGGTTGCTCCTTCTGGCTGCCACTGCCAGTGTTGCCACTGCCACTGGACCCAGCCCTGCTGCCCAGGCATCCCAGCCTGTCCACCCCACATCTGCTGCCAGGGGTGCCACATGGCATGGGTGGGCAGGCTCTACATGGAGACCAGCCCACGACTCCTGAAGGAAGGGCATCTTTGACTAGGCAGATGGGATGGGACTGTGGGTGGATGGGGAGTGGCATCTGGGAGCAGGATGGGTGGGCAGGGCCAGGGATGGGATTGTGGGTGGTGACAACATGGGGCTGCAGCCTGGGTCAGAGCCATGATTCAGGGAGTAGATTGTGGCTCTGACCCAAGCCGCAACCCTGCGCTGTTTCCACCCCAAATCTTGGCCTG